TCTCTCTCTCTCTCTCTCTCTCTCTCTCTCTCTCAGGCCTGGAATCTGTTTTCATCCCTCACTTCCTATCTAGTGATGTGCTTTCTCAGCTAATTCCCATTAGCTCTGCTTCTGGTCCAAGTTGGGGATTATGTAAGAGCTGGCATCACCGTGGGGAAGGGGGAAGGGAGAGCTAAGAGCCGCCCCCTGAGGGCTGGTGCTCTGGCTTGTTGCAAACAGGTAGTCCTGGGGTTTAGAATTCCTCAGCAGTTGGTTATCTGGGAACTGAATCTTGATAAAATTCACTCAGGGTGACTGAATTTGGCACAATTCCTGTATTAGAGCTAGAGATTAATTTGATTGGGCTATAATAATATTGGATTTAGGTGCCAGATGGAGGAATTTGGACTTCTTTCCTCTCTGGGAATGGGTCAGAACCCCGCCCTGCCTTTTCTGGTGGGCCCCCCTCCATCTGAAATATTTCCACCCAGGATTTGCTGAGTCATGGGGTGGGATCTGGGCTCTTTTTCAAGCTACTCCAGCATGCTCTGTGAACTCCTTTTCCCTGCCAGCTCCTTCCTCCATGCTCAAGTGCAGGCAGGAGCTTCCCTGGGGAGAAAGACCAGGCCTGTGCAGACAGCGACAAGGCTGGGTGAATAGGAGGGTGCTGCTTAACCTCCCTGGACTTCAGGTTCCTTCCTGGTAAATGATCTGTTAGGACGGATTTTGCAGGGCCATTGAGTACTTTTTCCAAACCTATGAAGCACTGTCTAGAGGACACCAAGCCCTAGGATAGTGCTGTTTCTCCATCTGATGTCCCTCTTCAGGTAGGACACTAAGGAAAGAAATTTGAAGAGCTTCTTTTCCAGAGCTGAGATTGACTGTTCTGCTCCAGATCTTGGGCCTACAAGGAGTTCATGGAGTGGAGCTGGTCAGCCCAGCGAAGCTACAGGCCTGAGCTTTGCTCTCTCTTTCCCACTCACAGGCCCTGGAGAAGATCGCTGCCTACATGAAGTCCAGCCGTTTCCTCTCAGGTCCCATATATTTGAAGACAGCCCTGTGGGGTAACAAGTAGGACCCTTTAATGCCAGGGCCAGGAGGCGATCTGTGACTACGCTTGCTGACCACTGGCCCGGGGCACATCTGGGTTCCCACACCTCTGCGTCAATCTTCCCATTCCTTCCCTTCGTCCGTTCTTTTCTCCTCCGAAAGGCCTTAGCAACCTCCTTTTCCCACTCAGCCTCTCCCAAGCCAAGCTTTTGTTAACTCCGGCTCCCCATTCCTTCAGAGTCCCTTCCTCTCCTTCCTTGTCTTTGTCCCGGATCCAAGCAGCCCTCGGCTTTGCTGAGGGTAACGAAGGGATGCACTCGGCTCTGTGGCTCCCCAGCACTGCCCAAGAAGCCAGTCCTGCCTATGTTCAGGTGCCCACCCTCAGTGTGAGGCTGCCCAGCATTGCCAGAAAGACCGGTCCCCTAGTGTGTAGAGCCTAGTCCCCCAGTATGGGACTGTCCAGCACCAGCTGCTCCTCAGTAAAGTCTGGATCGTGTTTGCTCTGTGTCTTCTGTGGTTCTCAGGACTACGCTGACTTGTTTGGGTGGTCATTGTTCTGTTGTTCATAGAAGAGACAGGTGTGTGTGTGTGTGTGTGTGTGTGTGTGTGTGTGTGTGTGTGTGATCTTGATGGTCATACAAAATATAAGATCATTGAAACTCCTTGATATTCTGGTCATTAATTCTGTGTGGCTCACCCTGGGATTCCTAGAGAAGGGTGCTTCTCTTCTTCTGTGCTGGTGTTTCTCACTCATTCAGCCGCCACAGTGCCTCCCTCAGAGAGGTTCTGGGCTGATGGGAGGGGCCTCCATTAAGCTAAACACCTTTTGTTTCCTTCTCCCAGAAGCGTTTCCTAAACCAGACATCTCTCCTCCTATTCTCAGGATGCTTCCCCATAAACAGTCCCCACTGTTCACACTCTGTGTCTGGGGTGTCTTACTGAACTCCATCCTAAGATGATCAATGGGGAGATGCAGGTCCTATTGGACTTCGCATCTCTGCCATGCCTGAGAGAGCCTGGCCCGCCCCCATTGCCCTTGCAGTTGGGAAACTGTAAAGCACCGTGCTCAGCCATGCTTGTGCGGAACTATACAGCCAGCGGCATTTGGCACTCTGGGAAGTATTCTCTTAGCCTGAGGAGGTACAGCATGAGATGCAGAAGGGTTTCCACATTCAGACATTAGTCTGAACCAGAGTCTCTCCATGCAAGCGTTTAAGAGGCTCCCCGGCAGCCTTTGGAAGAGCATGGTCTGAGATGGGGCAGCCCTAGTTTGCTGGGCCCCAGTGATCAGCCGAGCCATGGTTATTTTGTATCAGCTCATCCACAAAGGAGCTGGACTCATTGGAGAAGCATCTGCTGAACCGGTTCCTGTGACAGCCGCTAAACCATGGAT